GTCCAAATTTGGGTCACATTCCCATCTTTGAACCAATCACTGTGATCACAGGCACCCATTGCTGGGATTGGTCAGACCTGAGTCTCATATCCACTTGGAGGATGTTCATCAAAACAAAAATGGGTGTTACAGTATTACCAGAAGAATCAATGTATGCTGGCCAGCGTAAACAACAGCTGTCTTTCTTCTCCTACAGTGTTGAGCAGGTTGCTCCTGAGGTTATTCAAGTTGGTAGCAGAGACTGGGGTGGAGAGGAATCCCACAAAGCCAGTCTTTGATGCAAGAGGAGGCATGGCCTGGCATCAGTGACTTCACATGTAGAACAGAAGTTGGAGTGTTAGTACAAGTGCCTTTTGGTAACTTTTTGTGCTATTAATCCTCACTGGAGGATGGTTGTTGTTTTTTTTTTTTCATTGACTTTTAGAGAGAATAGAAGAGAGTAAGGGAGGAGGAGAGAGAGAGGTTGAGACAGACATTGATGTGAGAGAGACACTTTAATTGGTTGCCTACCCCACGCACCTAATTGGGGCCGAGGATCAAAACAGCAACCCAGATACATGCCCTTGACTGGTAATCAAACCAGTGATCTTTTGGTGCTCAGGCCGACAATTTAACCACTGAGCAACACCGGCTAGGGCAGACTACAAGATCTCTGAGGGCAAAGAAGTTTGTATCCCTGGTCCCTACTAGTAGGCCTGATACTAAAAATATTCCTATAAATAGATGGATAGATAAATGGATAGTAAATTATAGATGAATGAATGAATAAATGAACCACTTTATTTGAATATATCTTAGGAATAAGCTCACAGTATTTGATGGAAAGTATTTAACAAACAAATGCCTTTATAAAACATATCTCTTATGTTCACTTACGTAAAAAGTGGAGCATTGTGAAAATAACATACACTCAGAAGTCACCAACCTAGATTTGAATCTTGGCTCTGTGTGAACCTTGTGCAAATTATTTAGCTACCCTGAGTCTTAGTTTCCTCATCTATAAAATTGGGTAATGGTAGGGTGCCACCCCAAGGGGGAAAGGCCAATGAAACAATCACCCAAGAGTATCAGTGTGTAACAACAATCATTTTGATAAACTTATAGATCGGGCGTCATTCTCAGTCTAACAAAATAAAAACAACAACTTCATTTCATCATTACATGGAGAGGGAAGCCATTTTCCAGACAGAGGCTCACATGACATTAACCAAATCAGACAGGTAGATGCAATATAATCAGAATGCCAACTTACTAAGTTACCGTGAGAAAAAATTTTGGTGTATCCAAGTAACTATCACATTGTGTGTGTGTGCGCGCGCGCAACTGTATTTGAGAAGGAAAATCAGAACCAGAAGATCAGGCAAGGGGACTTGGGCTGCCTCTTGCTGTGGTGACGAGCCAGCCACTGGGAAACCCTTGGAAGAAGTGGTACTGAGAGGGTTTGTCCCATGTCCTAGATGAGTTTTATATCTTTGCTTTCTTCTAGTATATATGTATGTTTCCGAAGGTATATATGTATGTTTTGGAAGGTATCTTATTTTCCTCGCATTGCAATGTCTCGGAGAAAGGCTGATCCCAACTCCTAAAATATTAACAATAAAAAGAACAAGACCTTCTAGATCCGTTTAGCCTGCACATCAGCGATAGGGGTTTCTTTGGCCGTTAAGATCTGGCTCAGATGGCTTAACTCCCCCTGTCCACCACTGTGACAGTCCTAAGCCCATCTAAGATTTCAGCAAATCCTTGTGTTCCTGTGGCCTCCTCTTCCATTTGTTTCCTCATGATCTCTGCTCAGCATATGTCAATCCAGACAAGAATCACAGCTGCTTCACTGACATCCTCCAAAATGAAAAATAAAAAAATCCCACAAACCTCTCCTGAGCAGACTCTACTAAAGAACTGAGAAGGCAGGGAGAAGCCTCAGGAAGGATGCATCTACACATGACTCCACCAGCCGTTCAAAACCCGTATGAGACATTCCTATCCTTCTGAGGTCCCTCTGAGCACTCTGATACCAGGGTTCCTGTCCTGGCCCTTCCCACCAACAGTCCTCCTCCCCACACCTCTTTCCCTCTCTCTCTCTCCCTTCTCCCTCCTCTGCTCTCTCTTCCACTCCTCCCTCTCTAACACATCAGACAACAACTTCCTCTCTTTGACTCAGAAACGGAGGTTCCACCCTCTCTCTGGAGCCTCCTCCACAGCTGAAATCAAGGTCAAGGCATTTCATCTTCTAACCAATCACAGGTATTTTCCCAACAAAGACTCCTCCTTTCTAGATTGAATTTGGGGGCTGGCTGTTAATAAAATAAAAGAATGTCAAATGCCTGGGATGTACAATCAATAAACAAGCTTCCATCCACTCTTCTTGTTCCTCTCCATTTATGCAACACATTGTTGATCAATGATAATTTCAAAATGACGAAGCTGTCTCTGCTCCTTTCCACATTCCTGTGTTGGTTGAGAGACACCCTAAAATAAGATTTCCTGTAGCCACAGGCATTTAAAGACCCGTGCCAAATACTGGTTCCCCAATTTACTGGCTTTGTGATCTTGTGCAAATTACTTAACCTTACTGGCTTCAGTTTCTCCACCCAGAAAATGAGAGGATGGAACAGCTTAAAGACTTCTTGGGTGTGGCTCAGTTGGTTGGGTATCATCCTGTGCACAGAAAGGCTGTGGTTCAATTCCCGGTCAGGGCAAATGCCCAGGTTTTGGGCCCGATCCCTGTTAGGGGTCATGCAGGAGATAGCCAATTGATCTCTCTCCCTCTCCCTCTCCCTCTCCCTCTCCCTCTCCCTCTCCCTCTCCCTCTCCCTCTCCCTCTCCCTCTCCCTCTCCCTCTCCCTCTCCCTCTCCCTCTCCCTCTCCCTCTCCCTCTCCCTCTCCCTCTCCCTCTCCCTCTCCCTCTCCCTTTTCCTTCCTTTCTCTCTAAAAATAAAATACAACTTCTCAGGAGGATTAAATTACTTTGCTAGTGCATAATAAGGGCTCAGTAAATGTTAGGTGCTTAAAAACATTATTTTATTTGTTTCTTTATCTTCAAATATGTGGCTTCATCAATGTAAAAGATAAGAGAGTTTAACCTTGGCATTTTAATAAAGTCAACCTTGAGCTAGAGACTAAATCAATAGAGTCAGGGTTCAACTTGGCTCCTGGGCTATATATACCATGACAGTATCCTAAGCCATAGAGGATGGCCAAGTACTAACTCAATTGGGACCTGCATTCAGAGACGGAGGGGGTAGTAGAGACCTGATGAAAACACACTCCAAACCAGAGTAGCCTAGACTGGGAAAGATATCCACTGCCTGGGTCTAGGTCATTTCTGGATCAGAGGATTCAGGCTTGGAGGGTCCCAGGGCTGGCTAGCATCACGATGAGCCGCTCCCATAATCCCATTAGACTTGTCCTGTATCTCCTGTGACTCTCAGAGATGGGAAGAACTGAGACACCAGAGATCCTCAGAGAGGATGAAGGCTGCCCTCTAGTGTCTGCAGCCCCAAGAATAGCCAGGCTTCTTGATTAAAATGAGCAAAGTGGGCTCTCTGGTCCAGGCTGCTTGCTCTCATGGCCATATGAGTACCATCTTCCCCCATCACCTCCCCATGCCCTGGAGCCTCTGCCCCTCACAGGAACAGGCTGGTTGGGCTACTTGCTGCAGCCTCTGGACAAACAGGGTTAGGAATGGAGTGGGAGAGCTAGGCATGGGTCAGGTGAAACTGGTTCCTCCCAAGGTGGGCCCAGGTGAGGGGGAGGAAGAGGGAAGGAAGGAAGGGAGCTTTGAGGGAATTGCCAGGCCAGCTCCACTGGGCACATCTTGAAGGGGAGTGTGACTAAGTGGGTCTTTCTCTTTGCAGAAGGCACAGTTGTCTGGGCCTGGACACAGGGGGCTGCCTAAGGACAGGGAGTGGTAGAGAAGATCGTGGCTCACCTAAAAACTACCTAAAGGACACATTTCTTTCTTTTTTCTTTTTAAAACATTTTTATATATTTTCTTAATTTTTTACAGAGAGGAAGGGAGAGGGATAGAGAGTTAGAAACATCGATGCGAGAGAAACATTGATCAACTGCCTCCTGCACACGCCCTACTGGGGATGTGCCCGCAACCAAGGTACATGCCCTTGACCTGAATTGAACCTGGGACCCTTCAGTCCGCAGGCCGACGCTCTGTCTGCTGAGCCAAACCAGTCATTGTCTAAAGGGCACATTTCTATAGAATCCCGTTTAGATTTAGTCCCTACCCCCAGAGGTACATTATCCATGTGGCTTTATAAACTCTCCCTGCAGATTTGAGCTTCCCATGTGCGACTCTGGGCTCCGGCTCATCCACGCTGCCAGGCTGCATCAGGGGTAAGCCCACAGGGGAAGAGGATTGCATTTCGACTCCATTCCTGGGCAGCTCTCCACGACGGGCACATATGATCGCATCCCTCGCACATACTGTCACCCCTGCACCACCTGCCACCCGGGTCCTCTTTGCAGAAGTGCGTGCTTACAGGCGGAAGCAAGGCAGCCTGGGGGCTCTCAGCCCGTGCAGTCACAAGCCCTAGGAGATGCTCAGCGACCTTCGGGGAGGTGCCCGCACGCCTGGCTGTGGGGAAATCCCAAATCGGCGCCTAGTCAGGCGGCCTCCCTCCCTGGAGCAGCGTGCTGCGCGGCCACGGGTGGGGACGCGGGGGGGGGGGAGCCGAGACGCGCTGTGCGCTCCTCTGTGCCAGGCTGTCCTGGGCGGGTGCCAGCCGGGCTCCAGGGGCGGGGGCGGGGGCGGGGGCGGAGCGCGGCCTTTTTCGGGGCCAGGGAGGCGGGGCCGCGGCCGGGAAGGCCACTTGGCCGCCGCCGGGCTGGCTGCTGTCACACGCGCCCCGCGCCCAGCTCAGCGGTTCTGCCTTCTCCAGGCTCCGCGGCTCACCCCAAAGCGCGGCTCGCATTTGCGCTCCGGAGCAGCGGGCACTGAGCAAGCTCTTCTACCCTCCCCATCCCCTCCCCCCCCCTCATCAGCCATGGGCCCCCAGGCCACCTGCCCTGGCTGGGGCTACCTGTCTGGCCTCCAGGTGAGGACCTGGATCGAGCCCGTGGTGGCCTCCACGCAGGTGGCCAGCTCCCTCTACGACGCGGGGCTGCTGCTGGTGCTGAAGGAGTCCTTAGGGGCCAGGGTCGCCAACCACAGCGCCAGCACGTCGCCCCGGGGGGCACTTGAGGACCAGCAGCAGAAAGCCATCTCCAACTTCTACATCATCTACAACGTGGTGACGGGCCTGACGCCCCTGCTGCCCGCTTACCTCCTGGGCTGGCTCAGCGACCGCTTCCACCGCAAGATCTCCATCTGCGTGGCCCTGCTGGGCATCCTGCTGTGCCGCCTGGCGCTGCTGTTCAAGGTGCTGTGGGACTGGCCCGTGGAGGTGATGTACTGGGCCGTGGCGCTGAACGGACTCTGCGGGGGCCTCTCCGCCTACTGGGCCGGAGTCATATCCCTGGGCTCCCTCGGCTCCTCCGAGGGTGGCCGCTCGGTCCGCCTCATCTTCATCGACCTGATCCTGGGCCTGGGGGGGTTCTGTGGGAGCATGGCCTCCGGGCATCTCTTCCAGCAGATGTCTGAGAAGGCCTGGCAGGGCCTGGTGCTGACGGCCTGCAGCGTGAGCTGCGCCTCTTTCGCCCTCTTCTACAGCCTCTTGGTCCTGAAGGTCCCCAAGTCGGTGGCCAAGCCCCGAAAGGCACTCCCCACGGTGGACACGGTGTCTGGCACGATCGGCACGTATCGCACCCTGGATCCCGATCAGCCAGACGTGCCCAGCGTGGCGGGGCATCCTCAGTCTCCTGGGAAAGCGAGGTCCCCCAAATCCATGATTGTCCTGCTCTTTCTGGGCGCCATCATGTACGACCTGGCCGTGGTGGGCACGGTGGACGTGATGCCCCTGTTTGTGCTGAGGGCGCCTCTCAGTTGGAACCAGGTGCAAGTGGGCTACGGGATGGCCGCGGGGTACATCATCTTCATCACCAGCTTCCTGGGCGTCCTGGTCTTCTCCCGCTGCTTCCGGGACACCACCATGATCATGATCGGGATGGTCTCCTTTGGATCGGGAGCCCTCCTGCTGAGTTTTGTGAAAGAGACGTACATGTTCTACATTGGTGAGTCTGGCCTGCTGGAGGAGCAGGGCAAAGACACTGCTGCTTCCCTGAGTCATGGGGCGGACACTGGGGATGCTGTGGTCTAGGTGTCCCCGCTCAGCACCAGGGATTCTATCTGCTACCGAGGAGGTTCAAGGGATACGGGATTATGTGCGCTTGAATTTATCTGTGTTGTCATGCGTAGTGTGTTAACTGTCTGTGAAATGTTATCAGAGTGGTATCCATGGCTCCAGGAGGTCACGGGAGGAATGATCAGGGGTGCCTAGAATGGCTTTGGGTGGAAATGGGGTTCAGTTTCTTCGCCCCAATTTTAAAGAGATCAAACATTGAATAATTCACCTGAAACGATCCTTTCATTAAAGTCATTTCGGGCCAAGCAAGAGCTTTCTAAAAATGGATTTACAAAAAATTCTCCATAAATGCTTTCTCCACCCAATGTAACAAATCCTTCAAGGAAGCAGAATATAGTTTCCACTAGAGGACACAGATCCCACAACCACAAGCAGAGAGCTCCAGACCAAGGCTCCCGTAGAGCTTTCTCCAATGATAAAAATGCTCTATCTGTTTTGTCCAAGATAGGAGTCACAAGTCACATGTGGCTGTTGAGCAGCTAGTGCAAGTAAAGAACATCATTTAAAATTTTATTTCATTTTAATCTATTTAAATAGCCACACATGGCTGGTGGCTAACATATTAGAAAGAATAACTTAAACTAGTTACCAAGAGGGCATGAGTCTTCCAGAGCAAGCCACATAGGACCTACGGGGAGGGGGAATTCTAAATGAGACCTTTGCTTTATTCTAATTTACACCTTGGCATAGGATGGGCTATAGCGAGGAGTGTTCTCGTGTGATTTCTTTCCAGCTCGAGGCGTCATGCTGTTTGCCCTCATCCCCATCACAACCATTCGGTCAGCAATGTCCAAACTCATCAAGGACTCCTCGTATGGTGAGTAACATGAATCTCTCTGAGATTCTCTGCCTGGGCTGTTTCAGAGCTCTTTGGCTTGAGGCACAGGGTTTAGACTCACAGAAGATACACAAAGAGAGCTCCAGGAGCAATCTCAAATACTTGAGGAACACACTGATGTCTGTCCACGGCAGAGGTAGTGAAAGCAGGAGGGTGGGGGCAGACTCAGAAAATCAGTCACCGGAGAGCCACAGTCAAAGGAAGGCACTACTATCCACAGGCCACAGGTAGATCCACAGGAGGGAGGCAGGGGTCCTGGTGAGATGAGCCATGAAGACTGAGAGGGAATTCTGGGAAGTGGGAGGGGTCTTCTGAGCGCTCCCAGGAACTCAGCTAGCTGGGAACAGGGAGGGAGAGCAGCCTGTCTTCTTGGTAACCCCTGTTCCTTCCACAGGAAAGGTGTTCGTCATCCTGCAGCTGTTCCTGACTCTGACCTGGGTGGTGACATCCACGATGTATAATAAGATCTATCAGGTCACCATGGAAAAGTTTGTCGGCACCTGCTTTGCTCTCTCCTCCTTTCTCTCCTTCCTGGCCATCGTTCCAATTGGGTAAGACGGGAGCAGCGTCCGCTGTTTGGGTTGGGACCACGGCACTTAGGTCAAGGGCTGTTGGGCAATTTCCAACCCATTACCATAAAGCCTTGTTTATTTTCAGTGGGTCCTCAGCAGGTTCTCTCAGAAAGAAAAAAGTGCTCTGTTGTCCCACATTAATTATTTGGAAATTCCCCATTGTCATAAGTAATGAACAGAAGGCCCCGAATGGCTGGCTCACTTCCTGGCAGTTTTGTCATGCATTTTACTTATAGGAGCCTCATCCATTTCTTGGCATCAGAAGCCGGGATTAGGAAAATCTCTTGAACCTCTCAGCCCTCTTTGGTTTAGCCTGTTTAGAGGAGAGTATTCCCTCCTCACTTCTGTGCCCTCCCAGGGCTTGGCACCTGGCAGCTCCTGTGCTCAGTGCCCCTGAAATTTCATGGCCACTGGACGTGTGAGGTCCCGGGAAGACTTGGACAATTCCCTTGATGTCTTTTGGGGGAATGTCTCATTTGTAAAACAAGAGCACTCAAGTCTGGGAGATAACAGGCTGGAGAAAAGCTGGAAAAGCAAAGGAGAGGCATTCCAAGCCCTTGGCCAGAGCACCAGCCCGAGTCATCGCCAAACTGAACCACACGGAATTGTCTGGTCTCCAACCCCATCCCCGTCCAATGAAAATATGGAATGAGCCATACATGCAAGCCATGTCGGTGATGTTGAACTTTCCAGTAGTCACATTTACCCATGATAAACGCAACAGGTGAAATCAAATTTAATGACCTATTTGATTTAACCCACTATATTCCAAACTATCATTTTCACATGTTTATAAAATTAATCAATAAGATTTTTTTTTAATGGAGTCTTTGAAAATCTGGTATGGATTTCACGCTGACAGCGCCTCTCAATTTGGACTAGTCCCATTTCAAGTGGTCAGGAGCCAGTGTGACTAGACTGTGTAAGCCTTTTCCATCCTCCCCCTAAAGCAAGGTTCTCTCAGCCTTGTATCCATTCCGGCAGAAGAGAAAGGAAGGCAACAAAAATATCCACTACAAGGTGCAAGGGATTTGACGTACAGTTGCATTTTAAAGGGACCTGCCCAGGAGCACACGAGAGCTGCGCATATCAGTAACATGGCATTATAGCAGCAGGGCAGAAAATAGGTGAAGGCAGGTGGGAGGAGCAGGAAGTGGCCCTGCTTTGAATTCTCACATCACATCCCAACATATGTCCCTGCCTGCATATGAAGTTGGGCCTTCTGAGACAGAGGCCATCAATCATTAAGGCTTTTTACGGCCAGAACAGGCCGAGGCTGTGCCACTAATCATTACGTGACATCAACAGGAAAGACCAGTAGAACTCTAACCACAGAAAGAACAGCTACATTCCAAGGACATAAGAACCCAGGAAGACACGTCAAAGCAGGAGAGCCAAGGAGCCGGGGAGGACAGAAGGCTGGGAGGAGAGATCCCTGGGTACAGCTGCCGACAGCCTATTTGCAAGAAGGGACTTTGGCCCCAGCAGTTCCTGGTACCAATTTCACATCACTGTAGAATCTGCCCTCTCCTGCTCGCTCTTCTTTACATGCAACAGGGAGATGCTGAGGAAACAAACATCTGGCCCTGCCTGTCTGCCACCCACACTCGGCTACTGCCTCGTACTTCGTAGAGAAAATAGACCATCCATGGTAGGGACCTATTGGTAGGGACCATCCATCAGAGGAGAATGGTCCCATCTCCCCCAAAGTTAATCTACAAACCTACCTTCATTTACATCCATCCTATTCTTCTCCTCCCCTGCCCTTTAAAAAATGATAATAATTTCAAACATGTAAGTGTTCTTAATATGTGCCAGGCACTACTTTAATTATTTTACATATTTTAATTAGTTTAATATCCTCAAACAGTCCTCCTATGCAATTTCTATTATTTCTATCCCCATATTGCAGGCCAGGAAACAGACTCTAAGGTATTGTGTAACTTGCCAAAGGTTACACAGCTAAACCTTTGTACGTGGCAGAAACAGGATTTGAACCCAGGCAGTCCCCTTACCTACTACATGACATTGCTTCTTAGAAATGTCATGTGCCACCTCTCCCATCTCCTCAGAGAGATCACTACTAGTTAGCTGCTTTCTCGCACCTGATTTCTTCCTACCAGAACTGGCATATGATCCACCGCCTTTCTCCTTCTCCTCCTTTCCCCACTCCTCCTGCTCTGTTTTATAGCCAAGTTCTCCAAAGGCTGGTCTGCATATGCTGTCTCATGTCACCCCTCCCCATTCACTTTGCAGCCCTCAACAGACCTATGTCCCCAGCTCAACTCCCCCGAGCTGCTCTCACCAAGACTAAGCTATGACTTCCGAAAAGCTGAATCCAGTGGACACGCTGCAATCTCGCCCCACATGATTTCTCAGTGGCCCCCAACACTGCTGATCACTCTTTCCTTGGGTGGCACTTGTCACTGTCACTCACTTTTCTCAATACCTCACACTCCTGGTTGTTGTCCCACCTCTGTGATTGATTCTTTTCCACAAACCTCCCAATGGAAGACTCTGGGGCTCTGCTCTGGGTTGCCTTCTCACTTCATATTTCCTAAGTCATCTAAAGTACTCTCAAATTTTCAAATTATCATTTAAATTTCTAAAACTGGATTCTTGACACCTTCCTGAGTCTGTTCTTTCTCCAATCTTTTCCATCTCATTTCTACCACTTGCCCAGGGTAGAAATCAGAGTCACCAATGTCCTTCCTCTTCTTCCTCCCTCTACCTGCAGTCCATCAGGCCTCGTTGATTCTACCTCCACAATATGCCTTGACATCTTTGCCCCAGTCCAGCTCTTCTCTTATAATTTTATCTTGTAAATTCTTACAGCATCGTGGCCTATAAACAAGCCTCATGGTTGAAACATGCAGACATCACAGAGACAAAAAGGTGCTGACCCACAGGAGCTGCAAACACCAGCAATGGCCAGATCCCTCTGAAGACAAAGAGAGAGACCAGGAACTGGTGACCAAAGCAACCTACTGCTGAGAAACCTGAGTTCCAGCCAGTCAGCCTCGGATGACCTGCTCTGGCTCAGGGGTCCCTGGTGGGTGGGAAATGCACTTTCCTGGTGACAGAAGACCTGTCTCAGCTTTCAGACGCCCCTGACAGGCAGAGGTTAGGTTCTGTGGGCAGTAGAGTATGAACTTCAATGTTACATGCAAACTGCACACACACAGCCATACCAGACTCTGCAAGGAGCTTCAGGCAGCAGCCTCTTTTCTTCCAGAAATTGTCTTCTGGGCTCCAAGGTGTGGCCCACTAGTCACCTGAGTGCGGTGCTAGGAGTCCTATGTAAGAATTCAAACCAAACAGCTTCCAGCAACTCCTCAAACCAGAGCGTGCATTTTCAACTGCCTGAGGGGACTGTCGAAGGGATGCTTTGTAAGAACTGCCAATAGTGAACATCAGTCAATATTTTTTAAATGAAAATAAAACCTTGGATAAAAGTTAGTTGTTGTTGTTTTTTTTATTGTGGCCTTGCTAGCTGTGGACTCTCAGGAAAGATTCCGAGCTCTGGCGCATGGCTTTGGCATAGTTTTGTTGTCAATGTTCTTGTTTTTAAGAAGCAATTTTCAAGGGCTTTTCTTAAACAGAATATTGAATTGAATACTTTCAGTCAACAATACTTCCCAAAGTGAGTGACGTGAAGGGAGGGGGAGAGGAAATATAGGAAGAGCCATTTTATTTTAAGGTACTTTTATTGCCTATTTTATTTATACATATAAAAGCACACTTCCTCCTGGTAAAAATCAACATTCATAGTAAGTATGTGACTCAGTCTTTCCCAGATCAGATTCCCTCTGTAACCACAGACACGACATTCCTATACTGGGGTGAAACGTAGAGCTAGAGAATGCACTTACCTTGCCCAGCATCTGGGCTCAGAAGCTTTGTATCTCTGATCCTTTGCCAGGAAGGGACAAAACTTTTTGGCGCATCTACTGAGGTCCTGGCACCATGGCAAATGCTGTGATATAGTGAGAATATGACTGCTCCTGCCCCAACGGAGTGTACTATCCTAACAGTGTATTTCCAACTAAAATCAGTTTCACTCTAGAGAAACAGGGCTATCTGTTGGAAGGTCTTAAGCAGGAATACGGAATGCTTCCCTTCACATCTCCGAAAGAGCACTCTGGTAGCACCGAGGATGAATCAATAGGAGAAGGACTGAGCAAGATTTTTAGAAAGGAGACAAGCAGAGAGACCCTTGCAGTAGGGTCTCCATCCTCATAGCTTCTTAGGCTGAGGATGGAGAAAAGTAGGCGGACTTGAAGAAATATTTGGAAGTGAGAGGTCAACAGGAGGTGGTGATAGATGGACTGTAGAGGGTGAGATAAATGGAGGCAAGAATGATTCAGATTTGGGTTTCAGGCAACTAGAAAGAAAGGAGAGCCCCTCACTGAGACAAGCAACATAAACACAGGAGGTGGGATGGGAAAGGTGAGTTCAAGGCCATGGTCCCATCTAAACTCTCACCAATATGTTCATTCCTCTTGACCCTTTGCCTCCTACCCCAGTTGTGAATGATTCCCCCAACCTGAATGAATCTAATCACTGGCTTCTTCATTCCTGCTCCTGAACATCTAGAACAATCTCCTTATTTGTCCACATTGATCCTGCCATGCACTGTGGGGTTTAACCTGAGTGGGGCTCTCAGAGCCCCAGTAGTGGCTCCTTTTCAATCCCACCTGTCACTAGAGGAGCAGTTTCCAAGTTTTTCTATTCTCCCCAGGTCATTGTTTCTTCAGATGTTCTAACCCAGGGGTTCTCAGAGTGTGGTTCCTGGGCCAGCAGCATCAGCAATCCCTCGAAACCTGTTAAAATGCCAATGCTTGGGCCCCGGAAGTGTGTGGAGCCTACAAGCCCCTCTGCTCTTCTAGCCTGGTGCAGTGTTGGGTGGGGCCCAACAATGCTGTTTTCACAAGCCTTTATGCTTAAAAATCAGGGTTCTAATCTGTGGTCCTGACTTTTTCCCCTTAAAATCTGTCCTTGAGTCCCCCTCCTCCTTTCCCTGCATCCTGAATTCTTGAGTCCCTCAAATTCATGTCCTTGGTTCTCTTCCCAAGCAATCTAGTTTACTTCCATGGACTCCAGAACTCTCTTTCTATAACCCAGTCAATACCTCCACTTGGATCTCCTCAAACATAAATCCAAACCAAATTCCTCTTCTCCCACCCTATCCTCTAATATCTTTTATATTCTCTTCCTGATTGATTTCACAGTTCACCTCCCAGCTCCTAGGCTGGAGGTCTCCAAGTCATCTCTGGCCCCTTCTCTCACCACAGAAATCTCTTCAATCAGCTCCCTTTCTATTACTTCTTGCCACTTTTGCAATCGATTCCCATCGAATTCTCCACATATTATTCCCATCGTTCTTTTAAAAGAAACCAGTTGAAAAGGTATTAAACCCCCCTTCCCACTCCCTCCAAAAAAAGGTATACCCCACTTCTTAATTCTCAATGACAAAGCATCCAGAAAGGATGGTCATGGGAATATCCTTAATATCTAAGTTGGCCATATTTAAACAAGTTCTAGAAAGAGTCTTCCCATAAGGTCTATCTTATAATGGGTGCCCAGCAGACACTAGGTGCTTTCTGTACATTATGTTAGTCCAGTCAGCAACCCTTCAGGGAGGCATGTCTTCATTCACAAATCACAACACTGGCAATCCATGGCCTAGCTCCTGAGGGCACCAGCCTGGCCCCCGGAAGTGTGTGGAGCCTGCAAGCCCCTCTGCTCTTCTAGCCTGGTGCAGTCAGCCCGGCTGGTGTCCACAGCAAGTCTGTCTAGCTCAGCCATGGCTCTCGTCAGATCTTCATTGCATCTACTTTTCCTTGGACAATGTCATATCCTTGTCTTCATTTCAACGATTAGATAGATTTATTGCTCAAAAATTCTCACTCTGTTCATGTTTCCTACAAACAGAATTCCCTGGCTGAGAGAGAAATTTTTCCCAATTGGTCATTTGAGGAGGTCAAATCAGGTTGATTCATTCCATGCCCAGGTCATTGTCGAGGAGTAACTAAGATGTACTTCTTGTCTGAATACTCAAACTGAATTTCATGATACAAGCCGCATGCAGAAATAAATGATATTCTATATATTTAAAAAAAATCACAACCACACTGTGGCGAGAGTTCGAAGATGTGACTTGCCTAAAGAGAGCTACATAGCAATTTAATGCCAAATCTCTCTCCCCACCCACCTTGCTGCCTCGTTTTGTATGGCTACATTACATTAATGACATCTACTATCAGTAAGCCAAATTTAACACCCATTTAAGTCCACTTCCGGGTCATTGTCTTCGTTAGGAAAGCTTAACCTAGCTTTCTGGCCTCTAGTTTGCAACACACTGTAACACTGATGAACTGCAGACATTTCTTCTTTCCTTGTGGATTTTTAAATAATATCCAAGCAGTCAAAAAGAAATCCGGAAATGACTGGCCCTGTCCCAGAAAGTGATGCTGTGCTTTGCTATGGATGGCTTAGGAGGAAGTCCTTCCTGTAACTCCAGGGGCTGGCTGCCAACCTCCCGCCAATCCTGGTTTCATACATAGTTTCATACGTTGTGACACTACAGACACAAAGTAGTTTCTTCATCTCCCCAAGCCAGTGCCAACAAGTGAATGCAGGAGACAGTGAATTGAGGATAAGTCTATAAAGAAGTGAAGAATAAAAACTGGTCAATTATATTTTGTTGCTGTCGCTCTATATATCCTGATTTTTGCAGGCAAGCTTTAGAGAAACAGAAAAAAAGAGAGACATGCATGTTTTTGCTTATAAAGGGGTACAAATGAGAACAAAACTCAAGGTAAAGAAAGCATCTTTTATAGATTTATTGGTCCATTACTTTAATTGAGGTAAAGAAACCTTGGAAATTTACAGGCTAACAGTTTATCAAGCAATACAAATTCTCTTGTTTACCTCAAAATGTAATACTAATCCCATAGTAAACAATGGACAGAATTTTTTATACACAAACATATGAAAAAAAAGTGAACAAACCTCGTGCCAACATAAAAAAATGCAACAAAAGGTCTTTTTTTCTTTTTCTTTTTACAATCTCTGGGTTCCACAACAGGGGAAAAAAGGCGACATTCTTTTTAAGATTTGGTACCTTCATGACACAAAGACTTTGATCTGTAAATAAATCACTTTCTCATCAACACACATTCTTGAATACATTTTTTTTTTTTATTCACAGCTTTTGATTTGGCTTAATGGCAGCATGGAGAGAGAACACATTTACACAGAGGACTTGATCAACACCTCAGAAGTTTTTTTTTTTCCTTTAAAAAAATTAAATGTAAATAATGACTTCTAAATATAGGAAATACGGTCCATAATTTGGACATGACCTAAGCAAAGGGTTGTTTTTGTTTGTTTTGTCTTTTTCAACAGTTAAAATACAAGTAGAAAGTCTGCTGGCAGTTTATGTCATGGGAATACTATCAGGTATACATCGTTTCCCCACACATTCCCAACTCATAGACCTCAAGGGTGCAGGCAAACAGAAGTACAGCGGACAGGGCATCTGCTGGCCGGACCCGAACCTCAGGCTGAGCAGGTGAATGGGTGGGCTGTTCAGAGCCGCTGACTTGTTAGTCGGTGAAGGCCCAGCTGGCTCGGCACCATTTCGACATACTGAGTCACGTTTTTTGTTTACCATCTACTTTCACCACTCCATTTCCACACCGAGGAGAAAGCACCCCCCCTTCTTCTTTCCAGTGTGTGGCTGGAGGCTGGCCTGGGACGGTGAACCAGCCTGTCCAACAGGGGTGATGACACTGTTGCCTGCTCTCACCCGGCCCGCTGGGAACCAGAATCCCCCAGTGAGAGCCTAGCACGTACAATACTCGGCCACTGATTTTCATTGAAAAAGCCCTACTAAAACTGACTAAATGATGTGAGTCAACAATATGTTTTCTGTTTTTGGCATTTCCACCTGTGGAGCATTTCGTCCTGAAATGCGCTGGTCTGGGGGCCCCCACAGAATCTCTTAAAAAGCTGCTCTGCAGAACCTTTAATAGAGTCATAATCTGTAGGTTCTTTGCTGATGCCATTTTCCCTTTACAATCAAAAGTGTGCCGAAAGGCACTGGGTTAGCCTTTCAGACTCTAAAACAAAAAGGTCTTGTGGTCCCTGTGTTTCCTTACATTTATCAAAAACATCATTTGGCAATAGCAATACTTACTTAGCTTTCTCCTCCCAAAAAAGCAGCCCTAATTATGAACCCTACTTTCTTATTTGTTTCTTTAAGAGGACTGAGGACGGACTATGTTAGACTTCTTGTATTTAAGCTGAACAACTAATTACATTTCTAAAAAAATTCTTTGTTTAAAAATCCAGAATCTAAAAAACACCCATTGAAGAATAAGGCATTTTAACAGGTGATGACAAATTCTCAAAAAGTAGAGTCAGGCTTTTAACAGTATGTGGGCATTTTAAAAAGTCTGGATTGGTTTATTTTCAAGTGCTAAGTACACAGAATGTTTTTGTATGAGACACAGAATCTTACTAGTTTGTTAAAGTTATTTTTTCCAAGCCCTTATTTACAGGCTCTCTATAGTAGTAAAAACTATTTGGATAACGTGTTTTTCTGCCACACAGAAGGGATCAGTCAGCCGTACCCAGAAAGCATATCAAATACATACGATTAAGAAAGAACAGTCAAACCCCCTGTAACAAAGTCTCTCCCTACCTTTTCTAATGTAGCCAGCCCTGTGCCTGCTCTAATCCGTGCAGCTATGGGAGACCAGACATCCCTCAAACAAAAAGCTAACCACCTACTGGCTAGATTGACCAATAACCGGGTTTCTGGTTTAGTCATCCTGAGGACTTTTGAAAGTAAGAGGCAAACCCCCGTTCCCAACATCATTTTGTCAACGGAGATGACCAAAGCGGTGTTACCCCAGCCTCATAATTAGATTAACCGGTTTCCACAGACCTAGGCGTCTAGGAAGGCGGGGTCCAGCATGGTACGCCCGCCCTGACCACAGGCAGCCCATTTGCTCAGCAGAAGCACCTTTTAGCTCAGCCAGAGCGGAGCCCAGCTCTGACCCATCCCAAGACTCAAACAGATGAGGCCAACATAGATCCAGGAGTTGGCTCTGGAGCTCGCTGTCCCTCCCGTCTCACCTGTCAGGACACAGTACAGAGAACGACTGCTCTGCAATCCCATGAATGGTAACAAAAGAGCCACTGGTGCCCATGGTTTCAATGCTCCCAATCTCAGGGTCAAGTCACACAAACTCTGGGTTTCTCGGACTGATGCCGTCCGAGAGAGAAACTCCACTGGCCGACTGCCGCAGGCCCATCACGCCCCCCTCTAAAGCAGAGCTTCCTGTGGTTCTGTCACCAAAGGCGGCCTCCCAGGAAATGAGCAGCAAGTGTGCATGGACGGCGACTGAGAAAACGCTCATCAACAACATGCAGACCACGCTCCGGGGTGGCTGAAATTTGGCATGAAGACAAGCTTATGGTACATTCCCCAGGATCCCAGCGTGGTGCTGGGTTGTGTCTGGTGGGTTCCAGGAGCCGCGCAGTGAAATACAAGCCAAGCAATTGCCTCCCAAATCGCACTTATCTGAGCTCACCGGGAATCATCAGTAAGCCTTACTACAGGAGAAAGCCCCTCCTCCATCAGGGGCAGTGGTTCCCTGCAGAGTAGCCTAGGATCTTCTTGTCGGCCCAGCTCACGATAAGGAAGAGCAATGTCCGCATCAGCTGCCACCTTATCTTCAGCACCACCTGCTCTCCAGAACCCGCTCCGTCTCTAGGAACCCTCTCTTCTGCCTTGGCCTGGATTTTTGTTTGATCTGGTAAATGAAACCTGTTGTATCCCAGGCCCGGGGGCAGCGGACGGGATGACTGTGCATCCCACTGCCATGTGCTTTCAGGCCTCACCACCTGCCCATGTCTGCCGGCCCGAGGAAAGGCGCAGCTGCAAGCAAAAATCTCCTGGAAAATAAATACAAGATAGGAGGCGGTGCTCTCAGCACCACGGCTTTGTGGGGACGAGGAGGATGGGGCGACGAAGCCTCGATGAGGCAGTCTTTGGCACAGAAGTCTCTGGATCACACATCTCTCCTAGGGGATCAACCATCTTTGTGCTGACCGAGATGAAGAGGTGACTGCTTGGGCCTGCTGACCCTCAGGGGAGCCCTGGGAGGACTGGAGAGCCTCCCTCACTGCCTACTGTCCTGTTCCTTCTGGCCCTGCCTCCTCACCTTAGGAAGCCAGCCTAGGCCATTCTCCAAGGAAGCCTGTACTAGACACAGCTTTCCCCAGATCTGCTACCAGTAGATAGAAGGCAGTTTGCCGTGTTTCAGCTTTTGCTGGTGTCTTGCAACACAGGAACATCACATGGGGGCCAAAGAGGGGAAGACAAAACCCAAGATGCCCGAACCCTTTCAGAGCTAGTCTTTCACCTCCAGAAATGTTCAGAGATGACTGCAGACCCTACTCCCTTCCCCAAATGTCCCACTGGTGAACCTAGCAGAAGACCATCTAGTTTTCCTGTTAACTCCTGCCATCGTTCTGAGTATTCATTACACTGGGCAATATTTTAAAAGCACACATTCCACAAGGCAAGGCTTCACACATTCCCAAAGATGAGTGTTCTCTGCTGGGCCAGTCTAGTGTCTTCTATCAAATACCAATAGAGAGCCATCAACCCACCCTGATTCTACCAGCAAGCGGTCAGGCTGGACCCGGGCACCCATGCCCACATCGACGTGATGGTTTAGAGGTAGAATGAAGCACTGAATCACCCCTCGGGGTAGATGGACTGTTCTTATCCATCTACTTCAATGAATCATTTCTAATCGTACCAAACTGAAAATTCACATCAAAGGATTTGAGCGTAGCACAAACAGGGTCTAACAGTGCAGTGAAGTACCCATTGATATAAAAATTAAAATTTAAACCGCGACTTGTTCAAACATGATGAAACAGAACCAACCGCCTCGACAGCATCACAGCGTGGCTGACACCAGGTCAGCTCTGCCGTCGGGAGTGGAATGACTCCCACGTGCTGCGCGCTAGCTGGCTGCATCTGCAGGTCACCTTCCACACGCAGCGCTGTCTCTGCACAGCTGCTTCATTAAAAAAAGAGAAAACTGCCGAAACCGGTTTGGCTCAGTGGATAGAGCTTCGGTCTGTGAACTGAAAGGTCCCAGGTTCGATTCCGGTCAGGGGCATGTACATTGGTTGCGGGCACATCCCCAGTAGGGGGTGTGCAACAGGCAGCTGGTCGATGTTTCTCTCCCATCGACGTTTCTAGTTCTCTTTCTCTCTCCCTTCCTATATATAATAAAATATATTTTTTTTTAAAAAAGAGAGAGAGAAAACTACCACGTATTTGAGGCTCAGATTTATAGTTTTATAGGGATGAGCCACAGAAGAAAGAACACAAACGTGACATGTCGCTTCCTTTCAGGAGAAGAAAAAACCTAGTTGGAAGATCTTCCCCCCCCCCCCCCGCACCTGCTTGCTTGATATTGATTTTACTTTTAATGGTTTGGAATAAAGTAATGGTTTGGAATAAAGACTAGATGCAGCCAGCAGGCCCCAGGAACTTGGCTACAAACTGACCTTAGCTCAACCAGAAGCAGAGTCCGCTGCCGCTGGAGTAGGGGACTGACTTTCCTCCTGCTCGGAAAAGTAGGGGTTAAAGCACTTCCTGTAGGACACTCACACTGAGTTTGCAGAATCTCCACTGTGTTATATAACCACACACCAGCCTCTCATCAACACATTGCCCGAGCACTCGGTGGACGTAATAGGAAACATTAAACTAGGACTTTTTGGTGAGGTGAAGGCAATTGCACAAAGCAGACGTGGGAGGTGGGGCTTGGTTTCTGCCCCATGAACTCAACAACAGGGGAAGCTACTTCGAGGCTATACCTACTCCCCCACAGGTCTACTCTCTACTTGGATGACATTTCACAAACAAAACAACAACATGGAAGGACGTCACAGAGAAAAATGCACCTTTCCCGCCCCCATTTTACACAAAAACAGTTTCCAATCTTCCGCATTCTAGTGTCAGAAACAAGTTTGGGGAGCCCTGTCCTCCAGCTCCCTGAGGCATCGCGTAAGGACAAGGACGCTGGCTGGCTGGCTCTGGTTCGGGTGCATGTAGACACTGATTTAAATGGCCCCACGGGAACCAGAAACCATCAAACGGGCACCGCTCATCACGAGGCCACTGTACAATAAGGACCTTCCAGGAGGTGCCAACACCTCCTGCCAGGCTGGAACATGTCGTTGCCCACAGAGGTCAGTCCAGAGCTTGTGTGTCCATGGGAAGCAAGAATGGCCTCCTGTTTGTACCTTCTTCACATCCCTGAAAAGCGGGGCCCGGGTTCTCTTCCGCAACAGGCAGCTCCGCTGTCCCAGAACAGGAAACTGTGACAAGATGTCAGAGTGTCAACTGAGGATGTCTGGTCCCTCACTTTCGAATCTTCGTAGTGTTCCGTGTCATAGGTTCCTTCACAGCACGGAGGTCTGCGGCTTTTGCTGAGAGATGAGGATAGCCTTACGCCTCCGCCAGGGAATAAATACTACGTGAAAACAACTGTCAGACAAAGGCAGGTGGGGGAAGGGAAAGAAATACGTGAGAGATGTTTCTGTGGCTGCTTGCTGTGCCTGCTCTCTGGCACAGCAGGGACATTCCGGGATGGCGTGTGTGCCCTGTGTAGGTAGAAGAGCCTCTGTCCCCGGAAGGAACTCACTTGGCCTCTTGCTTCTCCTGTAGAAGCGGAATAATCGACTCCCACGCCGTGAGGCACTGAAAGAACAACACGGGGCACGGAGTATCAGCATCGGGTTTCAGATTTCGGGGTCAGCTTCTTTGTTCTGCTCTAATCCTGCCGATCCTGCTGGGTGACCTTGTCTAATGATGCCCACACGCGTTATCCATAACTATTAGCAAGGGAGGAGGTAACAGGTGCTGGTTTTGAATATTTCACCCCCACGTCTATGAAAGATACACAGCGTCTGTACAAGGTCGCAGTGCACTGTCCATACTTAAGGCTCACACCCGGTGAGTGGAAATGGAGTCACTGAAAGAAATTTCTTCCCTTCAAAAAGCAGAGGAGAGACCAGGCTGCAAACCCTTGATGAGGCCCTAGGTTCTCAGCCAGGATGGGGACATGGCTGCAGGTATGGGTGGTGCCTGCATAAGGCTGTAAGTCACACTGGAATGAGTCAGCCACCTGGCTCCGATGGGGCGGGAACCCGCTCTTCCTCACCAGCCTCACTTTTGCTTGTATGGTGGCTCCAGGAGCTCCCAACTAGGACAATGGTGGGAGGGAACTCTGTGTTTATTGTTTCATCGTGTCCAAACACTGCCATGTATTTTACATTCACTATCAGTAGTCCTCATAACACACACACACACACACACACACACACACACACACACACACACACTTCATAGATGAGGAAAATGAAACCCAGGAGGTTAAGTAACTTGCCCAAGACACACTGCTAGTAAATGGCAGAGCTCATGACTCCAAAACAAGAGTTCTTCTAGGAAGGAAACCAAGATGGCGGCATAGGTAAACACCTAAACTGCTGCCTTACATAACAATTTCAAAACTACAACTAAAAGACAAAACAGACATCATTCAGAACCACAGGAAGGCTGGCTGAGTGGAAATTCTATAACTAGAAAGAAAGAGAAAAGCACACTGAGACTCAGAGGAGCTGCAGAAGGCATAGGTATGGAGACACGCACATAGAGAGGGCAGACAACTGAGTATGCCGCTGGCTTTCTCAATTGGGAGGGAAACAAAAGCTCCTGACTGCACTGAACTCCAGTTCCGGGTGAGACTCTGGGGACCCAGACTCAAATGGGGAGAAACTGGACTGTCTGGCAGTGGGCAAAACTCAAGAGTGCTTTCTCTCAGAGGTGCTTGCAGCGATTACTGAGTGACACTGAGACCCAGGGGCCTCTTAGGGAAGGGCTGACAGGAAGCCAAGACTGTCTGCTCAGCCCTGAGACTCCTCCCAATCCAAGCTGAGCACAGAGGCTTTTTGAGTCTTGTCTCATAAGGATGTCTCCAGCACAGAAATTCTCCCAGTGTAGACACAACTGATTCTCACAGCCAATTGGCCTGGAGGTCAATTCCTTCTACTGATTCCAACAATAATCAAGACTTAACTACAACAAGACTGTGCACACAGCCCACAGAGGAGTGCACCAAGACTGTGCACACAGCTTATAGAGGACCTGGGAAGGCTGAGCCACTGGTCCCTATAGGACACCTAGCACACAAAGCCACTCTATCAACTCAGGAGAGCAGCTGAAATGCAGAGACAAATAAACAGATCACAAATGAAAGAAATGTAGGAAAGCAAATAATTGGATATACAGTTGAAAACCATGGTTATAAGGTTTTTCAAGAATTTTCTAGAAAAGGCTGATACATTTAGTGAGACCTCCGAGGATATAAAAAAGGACCAACTAGAAATTAAGCATAAACTGACTAAAATAAAAAATAATATACAGAGATCTAACAGCAGACAAGAGGATCTCAAGAATTAAGTCAAAGATTTAAAATACAAAGAAGCAAAAAACAGCCAACCGGAAAAGAAAAAAGAAAAAAGAATTTAAAAATATGAAGATAATGTAAGGAACCTCTGGGACAACTTCAAGTGTACCAAAATCTGAATTATGGGAGTCCCAGAAGAAGAGAGAGAGCAAGATATTGAAAACCTATTTGAAAAAATAATGACTGAAAACTTACCCCACCTGATGAAAGAAATAGACTTACAAGTCCAGGAAGTGCAGAGAACCCCAAACAAAAGGAATCCAAAGAGGACCACACCAAGACACATCATAATTAAAATGCCAAGAGCAAAAGACAAAGAGAGAATATTAAAAGCAGCAAGAGAAAAACAGTTAGTTACCTACAAGGAAGCACCCATAGGAATGTCAGCAGATTTCTCCATAGAAACAATGCAGGCCAGACAGGAGTGGCAAGAAATATTCAAAGTGATGAATAGCAAGAACCTACAAACAAGATTACTCTACCAAGCAAAGTTATCATTCAGAATTGAAGGTCAGATAAAGAGCTTCACAGATAAGAAAAAGCTAAAGGAGTTTATCACCACCAAACCAGTATTATATGAAATGTTGAAAGTTATTCATTAAGAAGAGGAAGAAGAAGAAAAGGGTAAAGAGAAAAATTATGAACAACAAATACATATCTACCAACAAATGAATCTAAAAACAAGTGAATAAGAAATCTGATGAACAGAATAAACTGGTGCATATAATAGTATCAGGGGCATAGAAAGGGAGTGGACTGACAATTCTTGGTGGGGGGGTGGGAGGGAAGGGATGTGAGGGTGCAAAAAGAGACTGGACAAAAATCATACACCTATGGATGGGAACAATGGTGGGTGGTAAGGGCAGAGTGTGGGGTGGGAAATGGATGGTGGGGAGCTATGGGGGGAAAAAAGAGGAACAATTGTAATAATCTGAACAATAAAGATTTATTAAATTTTTTTAAAAAGAGTTCTTCTGACTATACCAATCCCCCTGCACCCCAGGTCCGAACTACTTGGGCACGCTCCTAAGACCACCCTACTCAGCAGAACTGATTTTCCCTTTGACAAGTCTTTTGCAAAGAGGGACAGGCAGGGGAATCACACAAGGCCTTTCTTAGAAGCAGGAATTTGTGCTGAGTTATTTGGGGATGGATTCAGAGGAGATGGGAGGGAAGAGGCATCCTTAGGTCAAGATTAGGGAAAGCACTCCCCGCTACTCTTTCTTGGTGACTCTGAGGTTGGAGACGAAGCCAGACACTGAGCTTACTTTCAAAACCAGAGACCAGGGCGGGGTCCAAGGCTCCCTCCCTTAAGGATCCTTCTATGTCAGGGATAGATCCAAGGTTACACCAATTTTCCTTTTAATCCTCCAATGATTAAGCTTTTTCCAACCTTGCATATGTTGCACATGTTGTTCCCTTTGCCTGGAATACTTACTCCCCAAGTTCTTGTCTCTGAGAATCAGATTAAATGCAATTTCCTCAGTTTGGCCTTTCCTGCCCACTCCACTTGCCTCTTCCTGTCCCTAATCTGAATTATGCCCCCAGTACTTTCTCCCAGTTTCCTGTTCTTTCCCTTCCTCTGCAGGGGTGGAATTATTGTACCAATGCATATCCTCCACCAGACTGAGGGCTCCTTAATGGCAGGAATCCTGTTGTTTTGCTTATTAATGTGCCACCCACCCCTGCACACAGCAGATACACAGAAAGCATTTGTTAAATGTATGTAGGAGCCAAGATGAGATCTCAAGACAGTGACCCTATTTGTGATAGAAGGGAATTCATGAAAAAAGCCGTTTTTAATTGTATTCCCTTGTAATTCTACATACCTTTTTTTAAAAGGTATTTAAAGTCTGTTTTAAAACAAAATAAAACAGCATTTTGATAAGGGGTCTACAGGCTTCAGCAAATGACCAAAGGGATCCACGGCACAATGGAAGTGAGGAACCCCTAGAGATAGAACCACAGCAGGTGATTCCGTTAAGCTGTAACCCCAAAGCCTCCATTAAAATAACCCCCAAACCACATTAATGTAGCCCCAAACCTCCACTGACTGGGGGCATCCCTGCGCAGAAGGCCTGACTGATTCTGGGAAGCGTGGAGCTGCCGGGGCCCAAGGGCACGGAAGAGAAAACCACTTCCATCGGCAGTGACTGCAACTGAAACCCCGGTGGGGGTTCTGCTCCCAAAATCAGCACCACACCATGCACAGCTGGGCACAGACACGCAGGGGTTTCTAAGAATAAAGTAAAATAGGGAAGGAGCTGGAACTGGCAAGATCCCTAATTCTGGGTTTGACAGGCCCTCCAGAAAGGCTCTGCCTACAATTGTTCCTCTTTTTTCCCCCCATAGCTCATTCTCACAAATACTTCCTCAATGAAAGGGCTGTGGTCCTTCGGCGTGCCCCTTACCTTCTCATAATATTGGATGTTCTTGTCAGCCATTCCCATGAGCAGCTGCCGGAAGTCCTGCCTCTTGTTGTTCTGCCACCTCTCCATGTCGGCTTTCAGGTCAGCATTGAAGCACTCCATCCGGTCCTGGCACTTCTCAACGTCCGCGGGCACCTGAAGGGCGATGCAGAAGTGGGTGTAACTGGTCTCTCATGCCCCAAACTACTCTGCTCACACATTTGTGAAGGGCCAAATCACTACATTAAAATGCCATAAACACACTCTCTCCTCTGGCGGCATTTACCTGAAGCGGGGCCCATTGTTTCAGGTCTAAGGAACTCTGAGAAACCATCCTGACCAAAACACCCACCCCATTTACAAACAGAAAGAAGAAACACTGTAATCAGATCAATATATCTTTGGTTCCTTTTTTTAAAAAAAAAAAATGTAAAAATGTGTGTAAAAATTGCAAATAGCTAGCAGGATTTGGTATTGCACTGAGAGTTTTCCATGTCCAATAATGGAACTAGAAAAGGTTCTCCCATATCAAGTGAACTATTCCATTAGTTCTCTTGCTTGACAATGTCTATCCTCATTAATCAGAGAATTAATTGCAATAATATTACTGTTGGCCAGCTCCCTCTTTTGAAACCCACATTACATATAATCTGGAGACTTGTCTACGCTCCCCAAGATAATAGATTACCAAAAAAGAAGTTAAAGTTAGGCAGTTCTGGGGAAGTAAGAGAAAAATTATGCATGCATGTCAAACGAATATGAAGTACAAATTCAAGTTTTTCTAAAAGAAGACTTTCTCAAAATGGAACAAAATCGGAATTTTACAACTTTTATTTTGCTTTGGTGAGTTTTGTCCATGCTACATATCTAGACAGAGAATCCAATATTATGAAAAGGTAATAGGAAATTATTACACTGCTTGCCAAAACACAAAGCTAGATTCTCTCCTAACTCAACAGCTCCACTGGGCCCTGATGGTGGCCAGGGGTTCAGGGTGCCCAAAGTTGTATCCACGCCCACCTGCCAAAAACTTCCTGACAGCAAATAAGACCTTATACATTTTGTGTGCCGGGTCCTGTGAACCCCAATGTCTCCAAGCTGTGGGTCATCTTCAGGGTCAATCTTTACCAACCGAGGGATTTTTATACTCAGGCCTTACAGGCAAGGAGCCAACTCAGAAACAGCAATAATGGTGAGGCCAATCCTGAGGGAGCTGGGCACCTTCAGGGCTTCTACAAGTGCGCAGGGCACTGGCCATCTGCCACCCAGACCGCCTGGAGATGGCTGCAGCACACAGGAGCAGGGAAAGGAAAGCAGCCTTAGGTGAGGGGATCTGAGAGGGTGCGGCATGGAAACGAAACCTGGGTGAGACAAGGAAGAGTTGGAGAGAAAGAGACAGCAAGGCATCCTAGGCAACTCGAAAGGAAAGAACTCTGCTCTTTAGAGGGGAAAAGGAGCCTTCCTCAAAGCATGGAAGCTTCTGGAATTACAAACAAACTTGACTTTTTCTTCTGGTGCCATGCCTGAAGTCACCCTTGCCTTTCCCTGCGGGCTCACCCATTATTGTTGGCCACCTCAGGGGAAACTGAAACAAAACAAGAGTGTCCTGACTTAGCTGCACCAGAGCCATTCCCCCATAAATGTCCAGTCAACCGGCCCCATGGACACCCCGGGGGCCAGGCTCTCTGGCCAGGCCTCAGCTCCCTGCAGGCACAGTCCACTTCCCTTATTCATCTCGTGGGCACTGCTCATTTTAGCATGTGGGTGAGTGAATGCATGGGAGCAACTTCCTGTTGGCTTAGCAAAACTACTTCAGCAAAGAGGAAAAGTAAAGCCCTGAAAAGAGAACCTCGTGGGGCACAGGGAGAAGAGGAAGCCTCAGCTCTCCTACTCAGAGGAGTTCCTTCACAGCAAAGGGGAGCTGCTCATGAGGGTAAAAGCTCTAGTTGACCCACAAAAAGTCAAGAGTCAGGACTACAGCTCTGGAGTTTATGATCGTCCCAGCCTGGCTTTGGGAAGTATTTTTAGTTCATCATTCTCACAACATACTCCCCAGTTGGCAGTGAGGAATATGAAAGTGCTTAGGTCTCTACAAGCAAACTTGTCTCAAGTTGCCTACAATCTACCTGGGAAGATGCTCTCTCTGCACTCAGAGCCCTGTGATGAGCAAAATGTAAGGCGGAACTAGAAAGTGAGTCCAACTGGGATGAGGGATCCGGCTTCCTTAAAGATATTCCACTGAGGCCACTTTTCAGAGAAGTGTGACGATTAGGGAGAGGACACTCTAGAGTGACAAGCAGGGCAAATGACAGAAGTGAGACAGCACCTAGACCTACCTTGGAACAGCTCACAGGCCACAGTGCCCACAAAGGCACAGAGATAGAACCCCAGCTGGTGAGATTGGTGGGGGAGGGCATAAGCCTGGGGCTCTTCCTGAAGGTCAGGTTTTCTGGGGTCCATTTCCCTCATGCCCCCCCCCCCTTTTTTTTTTGAAAATAGAAAGCCTTGTGCTTCCTCCAACTGTATTGTCAGTTATGGGGCCAAATTTCCAGAGTCAAATATGACATCTACCACTTGTTAGATGGGCAACTTTGGGCTTCTCTATGCCTCAACTTCTTTTTCTGGATAATACTCTCCACCTTACAAGGTTGTTATGAGGTTAAATGAGATAGAATGTATAAAACAATTGGTGCCTGGCATATATCAATATTAAACACTCAATAAATGTTAGCTTACTCTGATCAATATCAACATTATAATTGAAGTTCATAGAAGATAATCTCTCATTTGCATAGTTTCTTAGATCAGAATATTTTATTGAGCTGTATTCCATGTCTTATAAAAAATGTACTGTTTTTGTTTTCCAACTATAAACTATTATAATATAAGCAAATGTAGTCTTTCAAACTCCATGTCACTCTTCACCCTTGCTACCCAACCCAAGATTTCTCCAGAGATTAGAGATGAGTCAACACCAAACTCTACTGTCATAGATCATCCTTGGTACCCTGAAACCGGGGCAGTGGCTGTAAGTCCAGGAGGGAGGGGATAGTTTAGACCAACCCGGTGCAGACAGAACTGACAGACTTGGCAGACAACTGCAGGTGAGATATAAGATACAGGAAATCAGAGAAGATCCTAAAGTTTCTTTCTAGTCTGGGTGACTAGGGTAGCAATAGTCCATTGAAAGGCTCAGGATAAAGGACAGGACCACACACCAGATAAAGGCAGTAGCTGCAGCCACAGGAAGACTGAGTCCTGCCCTCCATCAGAGGGGGCTGAAACAACTTAACAACAACAATAACCTGATTTTAAAAAGAGCAAAGGACTTGAACAGACATTTCTCCAAAGAAGGCACACAATGGCTAATAAGCACATGAAACAATCTTCCACATCACTAATCACTAGGAAAATGCAAATCAAAAACACGAGACCACTTCACACCCATTAGCATAGTTATTATTTAAAACACACACACACACACACACACACACACAGAAAATAAAAAGTGTTGTTGAGAATATAGATATTGGAGCCTTTGGGCACTGTTAGTGGGAATGAAAAATGGCACAATCATGGAAAACAGTGTGACAGTTCCTCAACAACAACAAAAAATAATTATAATATGATACAACAATTCTACTTATGGGTATATACCAAAAAAAAAACCTGAAAGGGTCTCAAAGATATATATCGAACACTCACGTTCATAGCAACATTATTCACAATAGCCAAAAGGTGGAAGCATCTCAAGTGCCCATCCATAGATGAGTGAATAAGCAGAATGTGGTATATACATACAATGGAATATTATTCAGCCTTAAGAAGGAAAAAAATGTTTTTATCCTTACTCAAGGATATGTTTATTGATTTTAGAGAGAGAGTTAAGGAGAGAGAGAAAAATATGGATATAAGAGAAAAGCATCAATGGTTGTCTCCCATACACACCCAACGGCAAGCTAGGTATATTCCCTGACTGGGAATTGAACGAGAAATCTTTTGATGTACAGGACGACACTCCAACCAACTGGGCCACAGGCCAGGGCAAGGAAGGACATTTTGATACATGCTACAACATGAATGAACCTTAAGGACATTATGTTATATGAAATAAGCAATCACAAAAGAACAAATACTGTCTGATTTATATGAGGTACCTAGGGCAGCCAAATTCATAGGGCCAGAAAGTAGAATGGTGGTTTCCAGGGACCAGAGGACAGAGGATCATGCAGAGTTGTTGTTTAGTGGGGGAAGAATTTCCAGTCTGGAAGATGAGAAGAGTTCTAGAGATTGGTTGCACAGCAATGTGAATTTACTTAAGACATTTGAACTGTGCTCTTAAAAATGGTTAAGATGATAAATCTTATGTGTATTTTGCCATGATTTAAAACTTTTAATATACGAGGGAATAGAAGAGGAGGCTGAGGAAGGGAGGGTCAATGGGTAGAACTCATGGAGAAGCCTACATTTATAGGGCTAATAAAGGAACCAGCAAAGGTACTAGGAAAGATGGGCACAGAAGCAGGAAGTGAGTCAGAGAGAACAGAGCCCTAGAAGCACAAAGATGGATAAAGGGGTTAGAAGAGGGGGAAGAGGAGGGTTTAAAGAGACAAGAATAAGAGGAACTGGGGTGAGCAGCCTGAAGTGACTAGCTCCTGACGTTTTCCAACTTCATCAAGAGGAGGGCCGCTGGCATCAGATGCTCAGGATCACATTCTTCTCTCTTTTGTTTCTTTTAGGACGGTGTTTCTGTGACAATCAGTTCACTGACCAGAAACATCCAGCATTCCTTTTTATCGCAATGTTTTAATTTTCTGACTGAGGTATTGTTAGAGTTGTGCTATCTTGTATCTGAAGGATGCTGAGGTGGCAATATCCAATGCTAACGATTGGGTGCTGCTTATCCCAAGACACCAAGAAAAAAAAAATCACCAGATTAGACCTCAAAAGGCAAGAAAAACTTCTAAAATAGAGAACAAGACTGCTTTTTATTATCAGGTTCCTTATCTCTCATGAGAACATCCACTACAGAATATGGGTTATTGAAGTGATGAGAGAAGGGTCATGTGGGGCTAAACCATTTGTGTGTGTTGGAAAGTAGGTGGTAATGTAAGTCCACACAACATTCACTTTTAAATGTATGACTGAGTCCTTCCCATGTACCTGGATTTCTAGGCCCTGATATAAATCCCTACCCAGTGTCCTTCTTGGAGGAAGGCTGCAGATGTCATATTGTCTGTTCCCACGATGACGGTAGATTGAAAAGTCCCCAGAGGTTGTATAAAGCAGACATGATCCCAAAACCTGGGGGAGAGGGGACACATGGCTGCCATGGGACAGGTGCCAGGACCAATGTCAGAAGCAATTCGAGATGGGAATCTTCTCGGCCGCATGCTGCCAGGTGAAAGGCCGGGCAGAGCTATATATATACATACATATAAATAGATTGATTTCATAGAGGAAGGGAAAGGAAGAGGGAGAGAGAGATACAAATATCAATGATGAGAGAGAATCATTGATTGGCTGCCTCCTCCTGCACACCCCCAATGGGGATCAAGCCTACAACTTGGGCATGTGCCGTTGACCGGAATCAAACCCGGGACCCTTCAGTCTGCAGATCAATGCTCTATCCACTGAGCCAAAACGGATATGGCTTTTTTTTTTTTAATTAAAGGAGAAAAAGAAACAAACTTCAGAGAATGGCATGTGAAGAGAGCAAAGAAAGGGCACAGATGAGTCAAGAGCAGATACACTGAGAACAGAGGAGCCTCAGACCACCTGATCATGGCTGAAAGGAGTGAGCAGACACAGAGACGGAAGACTCAGGAGAAGGTCCATGTTCTTTCTCTCCCTCAGTCCCTCTAGCACTCATCTGTACATGCTTACAAAAGCCAGGACCCTCCTCCCCAACCACGGCTGGGAGTCCGAGCCGTAGGAATAAAGGGCTCCAACTCTGGAGGAAGACACATCTGAGGGCCAATTCCTGCTCCACCACTTATTAGCTTTGGCACATGCGCTATGTATGTAATTCCCCTGAGTCCTGGCTCTTCATCTGTAAGATGAGAACAACCACACCCACAGGGGTTGAGGCAGGAATTACATAAGGTAAGGGAGGTGACAGAGCCTGCCTTCTCTGGCTGAGGTGACCTCTGCCTCATTATTCTGGCTTTCGAACCCAGGCTGGGATCAAGGCTGCTGCGGGGAGAGCTGGGAAACCTCAGGCCTGTCTGTCCTCACTTGGCAGAAGGGCCTGGAAACAAGGACACTCACTTAACGAACCACCAGGTTTGCAGAAGCTCCAGACCAGCGTCTCCTCACTCCCATCTGCCACCTCAGAGCTGGAGTTCTTGCTCCTGGCACATCTGCGCTCACCCAGAAGGTTGACCATTCTGTACTCCTAAGAGCTTTGTCCACAGCCTTGGTGAGGTCTGTCCAAGTGGCCCCAAGTTCTCGCTACCTGTGCTCAACCTGAGAAGCAACAGCTCAGTCCTTCCTGTTTTCTGCGCACACACCCCACTTCCGGGGGCCACTCCGTCTCACCTCCACGCTGACACGACCATTCCCAAAGCTCCTGCACCTGGCAATACCCACTTCAAGGCCACCAATGGGTCAGGGCCTAAAAGAGCACCCTCTGCTCCCCTTTACCTTTAGAAGACAAATGTGAGGTGGTTTTTTTTTGTTTGTTTGTTTTCTTTTTTATTTTTATTTTTATTTTGATTGATTTTGTACAGAGAGGAAGGGAGAGAGATAGAGAGTTAGAAACATCAAGGAGAGAGAGAGTCATCGATCGGCTGCCTCTTGCACACCCCCTACTGGGGATATGCCGGCAACCAAGGTACATGCCCTTGACTGGGATCGAACCCGGGACCTTTCAGTCCCCAAGCCGACGCTCTATCCATTTGAGCCAAACCGGTTTTGGCAACAAATGTGAGGTTTTTATAAAGCCTTCTCTCTTGGCATCCCTTCTTTGTTCTTTTTAAAACTGGCCACACCTGACAATATTAGCATGGAAAAGTCAAATGCAGAATAAACGGCACCTTTTCTCTGTGGCCTGCCCTCATGATCACATTAGGGTAGGTGTGCTTCCAGCCCCATTTTAAATGCAATTCCCGCCCCTCTTTGTTTCCAGCAGTAGCTTTGGTATCGTCCTTGGCTTGTAAGGAGGGTCAGATTCGCAGGTTCACACACGCCTGTGGTTCTGACAGATCCAGCCCACGGCAGCGGCCACGACTAAGAACCCATAATTTCTCCAAATTAAAAATTAAGATGAGGAAAGCCAAGTATACGCCATCCAAAGCTCCACGATCCATCTGCCTGAGAACAAACCACTGCAGAGTCTGGTGAGTTTTCCCAACCTAAACACAAAGCAAAACTTTACGTTCTCAGACACTAACGTTTCCCCTCACTGCAGAGGCCTCCCCACAGTGTGGCCCAGGGCTCCCTCCTTCATCCCGTGGACACCCACTCCCGTGTGAAATTCGCAGTGAAGGTCACAGCGGCCCACGAGGCCATTTCCTTCTTCTGGGTGATGGGAAAGTGGCCAGATTTTGCTACTAGTTGTGGCTTCACAAAAATCAACTTCCTCAGTCTTCAGAGCGATTTTTCAAGATTTCACTTCGAAACAGGAAGCCCTAGCCCCTCTCAGGTTTTCTCAGACCTGGACCCTCCCCTGGGAAAACTCCCCATCGTTCCTCTCCTTCCCTCATCCCTGTGATGGGCCTGCGAACAATCTTACTCCCTCTATAACTTACTTACAGTAGAACTCATGGAGACCTGGGTAAAGTCAGCCTGACCCACTTCCTGGTATCTCAACTTTCATCTCACCAACAGGAGCTCTAGAGACTAAAGCTCAAAACCCCCCAAAGGAGCCTGGTTGGTGTAGCTCAGTGGTTGAGCATCAACCCAAGAACCAAGAGGCTGCCGGTTCAATTCCTGGTCAGGACACATGCCCGGTTGCAGGCTAATCCCCGTGGGAGGGGCATGCAGGAGACAGCTAATTGATGATGTTTCTGTCTCATCTATATTTCTGTCTTTCCCTTCCTCTCTAAGAAAACCAATAAAAACACATTTTAAAAAAAACAAACATAATACATGTCCTGTCCAGTTTGGCTCAGTGGATAGAGTGTCAGCCTACAGACTGATTTCTGGTCAAGGGCACATGCCTGGGTTGCAGGCTCATCGCCATTAGAAGGTGTGCAGGAGACAGCTAGTCAATGATTCTCTCCCATCATTGATGCTTCAATCCCTCCCTCCCTCTCCCTTCTTCTCTGAAATCAATAAAAATATATTTAAAAACATATAAAACATATGTTTTTAAAGATATAAAACAAAGCACAGCAAAAGCTTTGGCCATTCACTGGGCTCTAGCAGGGATTTCAGGGTGCAGCCTGAGTAGCCCGCCCTCCCTGGGGGCTCCCTGACCTTGGGGCGGTCCTCCTTTCTCAGAGCCACGGCTTCCAGTTTGGCTTCGTACTCCGCTTGCACTTGGTCCCTCTTCTTCAACACGCTCTGTGGGAGGCAGAAAGGGGACGCATGTCACACAGAGTTCACAACAGGGTCTGCAAGCCCCAGGGACTGTGTCCTCACCCCATTCCTCCCAAACCATGGCCCCCAGGCCCAGCCACGTGCTCCCAGGATAGCTTGGCTGTGCGTGACATGTGGCATGGGCTCTGGAGGAGGCAGGGTTTTTGTTGCTGTAAACTTGTTTATTAGTATTCATTCAAGCACACATTTTCCAACTGAGAAAGAGAGAGGGCAAAGCTGGTACAAAAGGCCTTCTATGACATGAGCTTGGGTGAGAGAGAGAGAGGAAAGACTTATCCCCAAACCAATTCCAGGAGGAAATAATAACAATGCATAGAAACATTTTTTTACTATATTTGAATAAAATACCTTTTTATCCATAATTTTCAAACCGACTTTCCACTTTAAATAGAGGAGAACCATTATTGTCCTTAATTTTCAACTGATTTTCCAATTTAAGGAGAGAAGGAGAACCATTCTGAGAGACAGCTCTCAGCCCGTCTTTGAAAGTGACAGGATTCCGGGGAAGGACAGGTGGAGTGACCAGTGCCCACCCATTGCCATGGTGAGGAGAGGAGACTCGGCTGAGAGAATGGCGCTGTGCAGAAATGTGGAGCGCGGCAGGTGACAATGTACAATGTTTTCTGAACTGTCCATGGAGAAATCTAAGCCAAGAGAGTTGATCGCTGGCAGGCTGATTTGCTCACTGATCCATTAGCCACTTACATGTCCTCCAGGCTAGGCCAGGTATACAAAGAGCCAGAGGCCCAGTCCCTGCCTGAGGGGTTCCAGAGCGGGGAGAGGTGCAGACGCAGGTGCTCGGTGAGCTGTGTGCAAGCCCAGGATGCCTGAGAGCGAGCCTGCCAGAATGAGGGGTAAATGGGCCCAAAGCGAGGCAGCAGGATGGAGCGAAAGGGACAAACTGGGTGCTCAGGATGCGAAATTCAAGGAGACACTCACCCATGAGTGTGAGTGTGTCCCTAGGTCACCGAGGCCTGGCTCTTCGACTCAGACACCAACAGGTAGACCAGAAAAGCATGCAGTTGACATCGTGGGGAAGCATCTGTTTCATCCATGAGTTTCTCTTTTCTTCTTTTCAAAGAATTACAAATGGCAAACTAACAGTGGTAAGAATGTCCTTTCCCACTAACTCCAAAGTCACGTTGCTATAAAAGCTCCCAAGCTTTCACTTCTGCCCAGGGTGGGGTCGTTGCAGCAGGGTGTAGGTCGGGTGGCTAAGCTGGGGGGTGGAGGAGCAACTTGGGTCCCTGACAACGTGCTGAAAGGTGGTGAGTGGCTCCATGGCTGAGAGCACTCTGGGGACAGCCTTGGGATGGAAATTCAACACCCAGAACCTTAAGTCTTCCCCCAAAGTAAGAATTCATTGGAGATGTGTTTTACTGTGAGAAGAGAACACGAGGTCCAACCTGCAATGGCTTGTTTTCCATTATTTGCCACTCATCTTTCTCCCAGGTGCTTGGAGTTCCCTCCCCACAGTCCTTGGACAGAAAGATTTCCAGCACTGCCTTCTAGAATGTTCCACTGCGAAGGGCATGTTCTATAATGTAACACAGTAGTCACCAGCCTCATGTGCTGACTGAGCTCTTAAAATATGGCTTGTATGATTGAGGAACTGGGTTTAATTTTTATTTAACTGAATCTGATTTGAATTTAAATGTAGTCTCCTATAGCGAGTGGCTGCATAAGTCTAGAGAACAAACAACAACAACAACAACAACAACAAAATCAGGGGTCCTTTCTGGACTTCATAGAGCCCAGAAAACATTCTAAATGCGCTAGCTGGTACCAGCGGCAGTAAAAGTCAAAGTCCCCAACCCAGAGAAATAACCAGGATGCTGTCTTTGGGAGACACCCATGTAGTCCCCTGAGGGGCAATGAGAGAGCAGGGAGGGGCGCTGGAATGCTGGTCACTGCCACATCCTGCCATCACAGGGAGCCCCACACCTTATGGGACAAAGCACACATATCCAGTGGAGGGATGGCCACATGAATGAGTTGTCCCTGTAACACGTCCTCTGTCAGTGTGGCAAGAAGGGGAGGGATGGTGAGAGATGCATCAGCTCCACACAGCTGAACAGCCCCGGCATCTCCTCGCCCTGCCCCACAGCAGGTGAGGGCCCCAAGATTCAGCCATACTCCCTCCCCAGTTAGCTCGGGCCTTCCCTGCTCTCTGTCTGCTCAGTCACTGTCACCCTCACTTCTCCAGAGGCCAGAGTGCTGCCTTCTGCAGGCTGACACCCCCTTCCCCCCTCACATCACTGGGCAGCAGGAAAAACTCACAACAATGAAAGCCGCAGCCACCCTGCGGAGCTGAAAGGGTACTGTCCCATTTTACATGGAGAAAGGGAAGGCACAGTGGAGGGACCGGCTGAGGCAGCCGCTGGTTAGTGCCACAGTGCTGAGTCACCCGGGGTTTCCCAGTCTGACTGCAGGCCAACCACAAGAAAGGTGGGAAACACGTTTTCAAGCAAGAGAATCTGGGCATGACCACCAACCCTGTTCAGACGGGTGGGTGATGATCTGAAAGGACTGGTCTCCCACCCCAAACACAAGTTCTGCTCACAAATCTGGTCAACCAGCCTGCGGCTGATGGGGCCTCACCCTGCAATGGGGTGAGAGGGACAATAGACTAAGTCAGCATTGGCAGAGAGGTACTCATCCCCTGAGCTTCCCACAGAACTATGTAGGGATCTCTGCATCCAGTGACACCAGAAACCAGAGAGGTGGCGTGTCTGGAGAAATGTTCCTCGGCACCTCCTTTCCACAGCCATCCGCACCCCGTTTCCGTGCTGCCTCAGTGTTTCCTACTCACCTCCTAGGTGTTGGAGCTGCAGCAGAGAACAGAACCCACAAAAGCCTTGCCTTCATGCTGCTTACACTCTAGGGGTTAGGTAGACAGTACACAAGTAAAATATATTCATACAGAGCCCCCGAGGCAGTGCCAGGGGAGGAAAAGGGAAAGAGGAAAGGGGGGTGTAAAGTGCCCAGGGTTTGGGAGATGGCGGGATTGTTCACTGGGTGGCCAGGGAGGGCCTCGGGGACAAGGTGACTTTTAATTCACATCATGGAACCAATCTCTCTTGAACACTGTATTTTTTTTAACCTTGTATTATTTTAATGTGGAACAGTTCATCGTGATTTCAAAGTATTCCTAGTAATATGGAATTTCACTACCTTATTCTCAAATACAGAGAGGGGAAAATGACTCAGTTTCTTTAACAAATAAAAGGAAAAAGAAATAGAGGGGGAGGGATTTTGAAGATATTTGGAAAATGTATAGATTTTGTTTGGATCCCAATTTGGAAAAATTAGATAAAAACAGCATCTGAGACAATTGAGGAAACTGAACACTAACTGGATATTTGAGGCTAATAAGGATATAAACTTCTTTTTATTATTAATGATGACATGATTCTCGATTCTCTTTCTTTTTCAAAAGAATGCTTGTATTTTAGAGATATGTATTAAATGTTTTTGCATGAAATAACATGATATCTGGGATTTGCTTTAAAACAACCTAGGGGTGGGAGCTGGGAGGGGGTGGGAGCAGAGCTAGAACAACATGGACCATGAGTGGGCAGCTGCTGGAGCTGGCTGATGGGTACAATGGGGAATTGTTATATTTTCACTCTACTTTGAATGTGTTTGAATTTTTCTATAATAAAAGTTAAACAATGGAAACATAATACGTGTCATCCAAAGTGTTTATCAGAAACTAATAACAGTTATTAAATTTCAATGACCAAAGTGTCTAGGAGTTGGATTACATATGCCGTCTGTGGTTTAGCTTTCGACATCTCCACTGGATTCTTTCCAAGAAAGTGCCACAGTGGTTAGTATCAATAGGAAAGCTCAACACTCCCTCTTCACCCCCAGTGCTCATGCTCATACCTTCCTCTGGGGCAGCTGTGGGTTCATAAACTTGTAGGGGGAGAAATTGGCGGTCCAAAACTAGCCCCAATGCAAAAGGTGAGCAGCTATTTAAACACACACACACACACACACACACACACACACACACAAAAATCTTCCCAAGTCCAGATGGTTTTTAAGCTCCAAAATATTCAGATGCAGGGTGAGAAAGTATATCGGGGACAGCTTGGCCATGCATAGAGAATTGAGAACAGAATGGTTCATTCTCTGGTCAGGGGCTGACAGCCCAAGTCCCTAGAGGAATTCATGTAAAATGAGTCTTTAGTATGAAGGAAAAAAGCTGAAGTACTAATAATAATCAAATACTGAACACAGCCCTGTAGCCTGTTTCTGGGTGGCTCTCTAGGAGAGCATTTTCCTACGGGCAATAAATGAGTCTGACTTGGGACTGGTAACATCATTTATGTTTAAACTAGAGGTCCAGTGCATGAAATTCGTGCAGAGGTAGGGACCCTAGCGGCTGCCAGCTGTGGGCTGCTGGCCAGGGCCTCCCTTCCTGTGGTTGGCCAGCTAAACCCAACCTCTGGTCAAACTCCCAGTTGAGGGGACAATTTGCATATTAGGCTTTTTATTATATAGGATGATTAAATTTAAGTTGCCCCTTTCAACATGCTCCTTTTACACATTTATTCTATTGAAAACAGGATCACCTGTGAATTCAATGTTCTAGGCCAGTGTTTCCCAAACTTTTGACATATGTGTACTCCTTCTATAATTTTCATAACTCTGAGTACCCCTCGTACTCATGAGAATGTAGAATTAGGCACAGTAAGCACGGTGCAGTGCATATCCCCACCAAACTTTTCAGTACCCTTGGGGGTACACGTACCACACTTTGGGAAACACTGTTCTAGGGCAAAGTTGGTAATATTGAAACCATGCATTTCCTCTTAATTTTAAAAGATAGTTGTTACAGAAAATTTGGAAATTAAAGAAAAATGTAGAAGGGGGTGAGGGGAAGGCATCCCTAAATCTCATCTTTCAGGCACAAGCAGTAGCACATTATGTCTTTACTTCTCTCTTTGATGCTC